TTGCGACAATATCGATGATAGATCTAAGAGATCATACTAACCCGTTAAAAAATTTTGGATTATCAACGAATTGGGCAGTGCATGATAGGGGCACTTCTTAAGAAGTTCATTAAATATTTCCCAGGCTTCATGAAAAGATTCAACTTCATGCTGTATAAATGAAATGATATCATTCCTATGTTTAACCATTTCTGAATGTGGAAAGTATTTTGCTAAGAATTTATGGGCCAAGTCACTTCACGTCCTAATTGATCTTAGTGCTAACAAGTTCAACCGCATTTTGGCTTTATCCCTTAAGGAGAAAGGGAAAAGCCTTAACCTAACAGTTTCATTAGAAACACCACTATAACAAAATGTGACGCAAAGTTCTAAGAAACTTTTAGGCGATGGTTTGGATCATCAGACACGTTTCCCCCAAACTAGTTATTATGCACCACTTGGATGATAACAGGCTTCATTTCAAATGTGTTGGCTTCTTTGACAGAGGTTTAAGTATTAAGATGGATTTCATCTGCGATAGGGTTAACATAGTTTCTTAAAGGTCTAGGTGTTTCATGATGTTCATTAGTTTCTTGATTATTTTTAAGATTGTTCTTTATCCCTAAAGGTTGTTGAAGTCTTTTTTGTTTTATAGTTTTCCTAAAAATTCTCTCTAGCTGACACTCGTAGCGTTCAAGTCCAATAGGTCATGAACTACGCATATATAAACTAGAGACCTTTAATACTAATGAAATTTAAATTAAAGTTCATGTCAAAACAGTTAGCTCAAACAAACTACTAATTCAAAAACAACAACACAACCAAATAAATTTAAAACAAGATATTTTATATTTTTACAAGTGAAGTTGAAAACAATTAAACAAGAAGCGGTAAACACTATAAGCTTTCAAGTCTAAGATATCGAAGTTCAGCTAAAATTTCCCTCATTCATTTTCACCATTGTTCTATGGCAAAGACGTCAAAACATGACATGCCCCATGTACTGCGAAGGACGGGCTAATCACGCAAGTGCACGTGACATATCAATAGTACCAGTAATTGAGTTTGAAATATCGATCCCATAGGGAACGAGATGAATCCTTAACGAAAAAGTTTTAGCCTACAAATTTTGGTCCTAGAATGAAATTTTTAATTGGTTTAGATCCTACAAACAAAATCACAAGTTATCACAAATGGATTTAAACGTGTAAAATACTTGATAGCTCTTCCTTGAAATGAGTTAAGTAGACTTCTTGTAACTAAGAATTGCAAGTACAAAAACATAGTGATGAATAGGAACAATACTCTTCATTAACCCCTCCCAGTTGCATAAAGATGTTTGGTTAGAAATTAATTATTTTCATAAATACTTAACTAACCCATCATTGTGTAATTCATTAGCATTTGCATCTCGCTACATAATATATCCCTATACCTACATGTTAATGTGATTAAACTAGTTGATTCTACTATAATATTTACTAAGACATATAATTCACAATAGATTTTAACATATCACTTGGCTATAATGAAATGTAAATGAAGTGATGGAATTCACATCAATTAAAATAAATAGCATTCTCAATTTATTTCATCTAACTTAATCATCTAAAGAAGAATAGGAAATCTACCCACAAAACATGCTTAAACACAAACACAATTCATTAATTCAAAGAGAATGCCACTATAACAATTTTACAACTAAAAGATTACAAAAATCACAACACAAGACTAAGTTTTCTCTTCTTCACAATGAATAGTAAATGAAATAAAAGCAACCTCACTGACTTCCTATACCTTGCAACTGTAGCATTGCTCATCTTCTCTACCTAGGAAGAAGATTTAGACTCCAACAAGGAAAAAAACAACTATGTATCAACCTGGCATTAGCCTCCCTTAGCATTGTAATTCCCTGCTAGTTATAGTCCTTTTCCCTACCTTTCAAAATCTCCATATTTTTTGGCACGACCTCCGATAATTCAAAGTAAAAAATTACTGCAACTGCAAGTTACAGTGAATGGTGCCTAGGCAACCAGGGACTGGCGCGTAGGCGTTATGCTCTCGGATTTGATAACGGGTGCCTAAGGGCCCAAGTGCCCGACGCCTAGGCGCCCACTGACTGGCGCATAAGTGCTAAGCACTCGGATTTGATAACAGGATCTGGTGCCTAGGCGCCGAATAGCCAAGATGCACACCTAAGCTTCGTGTCCTCTACTGCTATCAACACTTCAAAACCCTGTTGTTACTTGCATAATAAACACAAAATGCCTTTCTCAACAGTGCCATCTCATCAATAAAATGTATAAATACAATCAAACTTGCTAGAAAAATTATCCACACATCATCAAAAATGGTCATGATAACCGAGAGAGAAATCGACGGAGGGAAGAAAAATGAGGTCTTGTGTAATCGAGTATGATATAATATAGATTTTTGGTAATTGTTGGCTAAAATTTTACTCGGATAATTTATCGGTTGAAATTTTAGCCAACAATCAATCGATTGCAAGCGACATGGTTATTAGTTGAAAATTTTAGTCAAATTTTTATGTATTATTAGAAATCAGCTAAATTTTCAACCTCTTATACAATCACTGAGACATAAATAACTAAATGAACCAGTCAGTATTTCTATCGGTATGTGATGATTCTTCTAAAGTTGTGGTCTTATAAATCAGTAAAATCAACATGACTTTGTCCTCGGAAAAATCGATATGATTTTAATTGGTTGATTGAGTTAATTTGGCGCTTCTAGATGGGGGCATGAATCACATTCCATATTTTTGTTGAGTTGCGGGGTTGGTTGGTAGAGATCATTCTCTCCTCCTTAGCAACCAACATTCGAAACACACTTAGCTTCGCAACAAAATTGTCCTTTAATGCTCAATGTAAGGAAAAAAGTTCCATATTTTTTTAGTTCCATGTGACTGATCACCAGTGAATAGAACCAAACTAAACACTAATGAGTCCCTACAACTGTCACGTCTATTCTTGGGTGATTTGGTATACATCAACACATTTGAAAAATAATAATAATTTGAACTTTATTACTCCATAAAAATGCTTTTTACACAAAGCAATTCAATTTGTTATCAGATTCTATTTTAGCATGCATTATCGATATCTATACTAAGCTTTCATTGACTAATTCTTGAGTTAATTGCCAATAAGTCAGTGCATTAAAGTGAGTAAGAAATTTAGAACTTTGGTAACAATACTCCACCAATGAAATTGACTTCTACACCTTGTATGTTATTAAGCTATTACTATAGATAGCAGCCCCAGTTGCCTGCTTGCCTTAGATTTTTGCCTACATCTATATTCATTTAAAAACCAAGGAAATAAAGAAAAGAGCTCTAAGGGTAACTTGACAATAACAAAAATATATTTTCATTGTTCGTTACCTTTTTGTGTAAAAGATAAACCCCAGCTTCAAATATGTCCATCGCCAACAGAGATCGGTTTCCAATATTCCCCACACATTATTGTATATTATGCGCAATTATTTGAAGTCATAAACTTGTTCCCTTGTTTTTATTCTGCCTCAAAACTCCAAAAGGGTTTACTAATATCCAAATGAGTCTCATCTGTCGGGTCCCCTCGAATTAACTGCTTTCTTCTACTGATAAAATACTTCAGCAAACTATTCGCAACGTTATATGTGGCAGTTTAAGCGCAAAAAACTAGTGGTTAATAAAATGCCAAAATGGTTTGTTGAACTCTATCTATCCCTCAATAAACCGCTGTTGTCTTCTTGGTTCTCTCCCCTCCACCCAATGCAAATTGTCGGATGTTTCACATTAATGAATTTTTTTCCCCCCTTCCTTCTCGATCTGGCAAACCTGGAATTATTTGGTTAAAAAGAAATGGAAAAGCTGGATATACTAGGTTTATCTTCGTTCGTTATTTGGTGTATTGGGTTATTTGAAACGAAATTATGTTAAATTAATCTATAGTAATTAAAAAGGGCATTTAGTTCAAACTCTTTTATCATTTCATTTTACTTGCCGCCAAATATGATAAATGAGTATAGTTTTTCAAGCTGCTCGTCTGCGCCCTTTTAAATGCCCAAATAGAAATGCAAATAAATAAGAGTTGGGTATTGAAACTTGATTTGAATTGATGGAACCGTTTTGGAGCTAACAGTGACAACTGTTAAGCACCGTTTTAACTTTCCTTGGCTCCAAAAATTTCCAGCTACTGGTTAATTAGTAGACAAGTGAAGGTGGTTCTGAAGCTCAATCCAACAATTATTCCTTCCCACTGCTCTTAACTCGAAGCAGGCAGCAGGAAGCATGGAATTGCGCAGAAAAAAACAAAACATGGGCAGGCTTTTCCTCTTCTTTCTAACCAATTTATACTATTTAACTACACATATTTGGCTGCCCCTTTACCAAGTTTCATATGCCACCCACCCATATGCTCAAGTCCCTATTAAAAAAGGCACCATCTATTAATAAATAAATAAATAAATAAATAAATAACTCCCCCTTCTCATCCCCTTATAAAAAAAACCAGCATGGATACAATTATCTCTTAGCTAGGACCATCTGATCCTTCATCCTCTATATAGGCTTAGATATATATACATATACAGACACATGCCCATACTTTCTCCCTAGATAACCAAGAGGGCCTATTCTTTATCATAGCATCATAAAGGTAGAGGTCATTTTCCCTTATACAGCAGTGGCCGTTTGAACTTTTTTCTTCTTGAATTTCACTGTATCGTTTCGAAATCCATGTCTCGGTTAGTTTGCCTCAGCACTCTTGCCTAATTCATGTTCTCAACTGATTTTTACCAAACTACGAAACCAGAGTTACATATGTAATTTCTTCATTTGGTAGCAATTAATTTTATGAAATTAAATATTTCATTTTATTCGTTAATTTGTTCTACATTAATACTTTTCATGTGATGCATGCAAATTAGATTGGCATCGAATAATTATTCCCATGGTTATAAAGTTAAGCACTCGCTCAAATTTTATTTTTCTCAGGATAAATCAAGCCTTCTTTTTTATGGATAATTCCGGTTGGAAGAACCAATCCATCATCAGAAATGTGATTATCAGTAACCCATCATGCACCTGGAGCCGTCAATATGATAATTTCTCAGAACTAAACAGTACCGACTATTGCGTTGTAGGTGGTAAAGTTGAGATGATGATGAATGAAGCTTTGCTTAGTTCAAACTTAGAGCTTCTCTGTGGAAATCTTAACAAAGCCAACGATGCTGTTCAAGATATCTTGCAGAATCAGGCAGTGATAAGCATTTCTACTGATTCCATACTTCCAAATTCAGTAGCTGAAGCTGCCATGAGAGAGAATTTGTCAGCTTCTTATCAGTTGTGCACTCTTCCCCCAACATTAAGTACTGATCACAACTTCACGAACTCTGAAGAACTACAATTCGCCAGTTCTGAAATCAGAGAAGCCTGTAATAATACTTCTTCTGGAACTGATTCAGATCACTATGCTTCGCATAGCTCTAATTTAAATACAAAACAGAGAACAAAAGAAAAGCTTAGCTACAAGAGGAAAAGAGAGGAATATTCCTCCAACCATCTCAAATCGAGCTCATCGACTGCGGACGGCGGATTTCAAATAATTTTCGGCGACGAGGACCCGTTAAAGTCCAAAAAGACCAGATTTGAGATTGACAAGTATGAACCCGACACCGAAGCAATTGCGCAAGTGAAAGAGATGATTTATAGAGCTGCGGCTATGAGGCCGGTGAGTCTGGACGAGGAGGCGGCGGTCGAAAAGCCTAAGAGGAAGAATGTGAGAATATCGAGCGATCCACAGACGATGGCTGCTAGGCATAGAAGGGAGAGGATAAGTGAGAGGCTGAGGGTTTTACAGAGGCTAGTCCCAGGTGGGAGCAAGATGGATACTGCTTCCATGCTTGATGAGGCTGCAAATTATCTCAGGTTTTTGAAATCTCAAATCAGTGCTTTGGAGAAGCTTGGGAACGGGAACAGATCAGTTGAACTTGCCATGACGAGCATGCTTTCCTTTCCGGTTACTTCAAGCTCCCAATCTTTCACCATGCAAACTATTTTCCCATGACAGAAGAAAAAATTTTCAGATTTTGATCCAGACTGAACATCCACCATGCATTGAACTATTTGCACGACTCTCAAAGAATTTTGTTTGGCGTGTGATCGGTTTCAGACTGGGGTGTGCATCATTGTAGCTATGTATTTTATTTTGATTAGGGCAATTAACCATGCAAGCCTTTACCGAATCGAAACCATGAAATGAGAGTAAAGGATAGTCCTTTAGATTAAAATGGCGGTGCTTTTTTTACAGCATCCATGGGTCAAGATAGAGCATTATCATTCTTTTTATCATTCATGTTGTAAGCTTTTTAGACTTAGTTAATTTTCCATCATGTTTTTTTTTTTTTTTATAATTACAATGTACATAAGGGAGGCACCATTATCATTTTATCATCATTACCTTTCCTGACTTTACTCACTTTTCATTTCCTTGAAAAGTTTATGGGAATCAAAATTATAAGATCATAATTAGCACATGATTACCTCCTTTGCGCTAGCTCTGGCAATGGTAAAAGCTAGACTTCCATGCAAATGGAAGGGGTGATTAAGCATCATTACGCCTATGATTAAGGAGATAATGGCAAGAGGAGTATTGGGAGTGCAGAGAAATGAAAATTTGATTCTCTCTAGCTTTCTCACATTCTCCTTTCCTTGACCTGCGTGCACGCTTTTGGTTCAGCTTTCCAGGCTCGAAGTCTTGGCTTCTTCTCTTTCTCTTTCTTTGTTGAAGATTAACAGGAAATGGTGGCAACTAGGAGTGTTCTTTTCCCCCACGACGATAGGGAGACATTCCCTTTGGGGTCGCGCGTGTGAGGCAGAGAGCACTGTCTCCTTCATTAAAGTCAAGCGTGCACTTGAGAAGACCACCGGCGCTTTGGTTGGCACGTGCAGGATACCTGTGGTCATTGATGCTTGGTTGATCTCTCTCTCTCTCTCTTTCTCTATCCTGTTTGGAGAAATATGGCCTGCTTTAATTATTTTAGGCTCCAACTTGTTAGAGTTTTGGTCCGCTTATTTTGGGCTACTGTAATAACCTTATGAGAGTTTATCCGATAAATTTTAATCTTTTTCTATCGAAATAATTAAAATTATATACCTAAATGTAACAATTAGAGTGGGGACGTAAAATAACTCCGCAACTAATATCTTTCCCTCGTATTGGGAGAGGATTCTTGTGTCAATTATTGCATTGGTGGACGGGAGAGGATAAGGAGAAAGTGAGAGACGTAAGTTTGTGGAATCAATTGTAATATCTGTTTTTATTTTGTAAAATTGTTGTGGGGGATGAGAATTGTCGTTCGCAGTATTTTATGTTGGTTCACTATCTTATGCATTTGTCGTTTTATAATTTTTGAGCGAATAAATGCTATTCTCATCCATTTAATTAATTTATTTTTAACATCAATTTTATTATGCTGCCTTCGATAATATATTGCATTAGCACGCTCACTATTTTCTTATACAATAAATTCTTAGTTCAAGTGATAGGCAACCAAAGTATGTGTGTTGCGAATATTGAAAGTCTTCAGAGAAAATTGTAAACTTCACATGGTCAAAGCATTGATTCTCCGTGATCATATTTTTAATTAGTTTTTTATTTGATTTAAAAATCTTCAAAAATAAGAAAATGCAAATCTAATTGAGCTCAAATTAAGCTAACTGGGAAATATAGAATTCGGCTGTAATCAGACTCTCACATACAAGTGTATTTAAAAATGTTCGCCATTTGCCGACATCTAAAGTTTTATCCTCAGCTAAACTTCAGTAACTCTCACCCAGCCCATTCTTCAATAAATACATACACACACAAACAATTTATTTATGGGCTTTATAAACATACCATATAATTCACACCTTTGTATGAATCTAATACCTAGACATACATATTTGCTTATATCGCACCTTAATTTTTAAATCATTTAATAAATATAAGGAGCTTTTACATGCTTAGCACTCCAAACATTCCTATTTGCATATCTCACACCCTAAACTTTCAATTTACAAATAAATCACTTAAAAACTGAAAAATTTGCAACAAAATTTAACACCTAAATACTCCTCCTTTTGCTTCAATCACATCCCCAACAAACGCAGTTTATAGGCCAATAAAAGTAGGAAAATTCACTTTATTACGTTTCCAAACGTAATATTTTTCTCCGACTCCCCGGACATGCCTGAGGTGACTAAAAGTATACAGTTCCGATGAGTATTCTCAATTTTGTATTATATTTTGAAGGAATTTGGTGTTCAATTGCAGAGTCAAATATCATAAGCTACATCCGAATTCTAATAGCTGTGTGACACGTTGCCGAACCCACTTACCCCGAAAAAATTAGAAGAAAAAAATCGAAATTATGATCCGAACCTGATTAGAGAAATTATTACTTCCAATATTTTAATATTTACCCAGCGTGATTTATCTGGCAGGAAAAATCAGAAATATACATAAATTTGGAGTAGCTGGATAAAAAAATTGGTTTGACAATGCTGGAGATGAAGGAGCTCGAAGTCGAATAAGATAAAACAGGAGTATGAAGACGAAGAGGATTTTTAACAATGGACCGCGAACCAAATGCCGACGATGTCTTAAATTTAAAGTCTGCGGCAATTACTCTTGGAAAGCATGGTCGGATAGTACCAAATTAATTTATATATTTTTTGATATTAATTGTTTCATGGAAATATGCTGAGTCATTCCTAATCTTGAAGAAAAATCGTATTTATCTACTGCATATGCTGAAAACCTTTTGTATATTGTGCTAATGTACCTTTAATTGAAATATTTTAGACTTTCATAGATGTACATGACCCCAAACTTGGAACAATAACGTTGTTTTAAATTGAACTACAAGTTGAAAAAATTAACTTTTTATATTTCAATTAGAGGAAAAATCACAAAAACTGGCGGCAAAACTGAAGACCTACGTTTGTGTTGCAACGGTTTATGATCTAGATTATTTACGATGGCTTAAAAATAGGAAATGATGTTGCTTATTAACAGTAAATTTTTTTCCAACAATTTTAATCATTATCGATGTCTTATGTCATCGATTAAAATAAAGTATCAACCAACGACCATATTGTGTCAGTTATCAATCAACCCGCCATTTGGCGGGGTGCTAACGACACATTATTTTAATAAATGATGATGTTATCAGTCAATAATAATGTAAATTTCTGGCAGTTAAGCGACGGTTTATGTTTGGGTCATTTTCGACGGCATAACTACCTAATTTCTATCGCTTATATGCAATAATATTTTCTCTAATGGTTTTTTTTTTCTTGACACAATAAGCCATCGGTTATGAACCTATATTAATTGATGGTCATATGTGTCGGTTATTTTCAAACCCCCATCTAACGGGGTATTAACGTTGCACTTTTATAGTAAACGACAGAAATAACCTTCGGTAAAAGTATTAATAAACAACGAAGTTTAAGCCATGTAGAAGTCATTGGAAATAATCCATTGCAATATCAAAATCATGGCCTTCCCCCTCCTGCCCTAATCCCCTCTCTTCCGGAACCCCTCTCCACCTCCCCCGAACTCATCTATTTCGCCTGCCGTCGAACTCTTGCGATGTAGTCCGTAGAAACTTGCCGGAAATGCAAATACGGGATCACGTCTTACAATGACTAGAAACTCTCTTTTTTTCTTCCTTCCGCTCCAGTCCTACCCAGAACCTTCGAGAATGATAACTCTTCTTCACTTACTTTTTTATTTCCAAATATTTTTTGAAGACTGTTTTTAGGGTTTAAGGTTTAGCAATTAGGACGAAATGTTTTCCTTTTTTTGTTGGATTACATCAAAGATCAGCTTTAATCCCATACATTTTTGCTTAAGTTATGGTTTTAATTTGAATGAATTTTAATAAATCCTACAAATCCATAATTATTAAATCTTGAGGTACGTGCCAATTCTAAACTAGGATTTAGTTCGAACAATGATAATCGCTTGAAAATTGATTCTATGTTTGACTGGCACATGAAACTCGAGTTGAAATGAACACGCTGAGGTGCGGGCCAAAATTTTGGATCAGATTTATTTGAAACTTACATATCAAATTTAGTTGTAACCTTCATCATATAGGTTCAAAGTTAGATCGTTTAACATCTTAGTAATGCTATTTCTGTTGAAGATCATAAAACGGTTGAACATTGCTTCATAATTTCTTAAGATGTCTCCCTCAAATAGTGTATGCCACTATTGCTACACTAGCCCTCTGAAAGATATAATTGTTTCAAATTTTGCTTTCAAGTGAAAAACCAATTGCAAACCGCATACAAATGTAGAGAAAATGTGAACAAAATATACTTGTGAAAGAGTTGGTGTAACTATGGTGAGAAATAAGATTAGAGATAAAATATTGATAAATGTTCACCGATTATGGGTCTTAGAGAACTCAAATATCCTCGTCAGGCTGTTAATGTTCTGATTTTGAGCTTCATTATTATTGGCTCAAAAGAAATTTTAATTAAACTTAAAATTAATTAACGTTTTAGTAGTAATTATTGTTTTATATTAAAAAAAGTAAATTCAACGGTTTATTTAAACTTCATAATGTCCCTTTCTAATATTGCCTGCAACTGTAGCTACTCTATCCCTATCAAGGACATATTTGTTTTGTGTTTTGTTGCTAACTCTAAAGCCAATCATAGAGCTAAACATTTTCATTATCGAACCCTTTTACACGATTGACTACACACTTGTAATTATGTTCTTAGAAGGAAATATTTCATATGATGTAAGTGTTTTCACTACATCTTCTAGTGTGAAGTCTAATTTGCATTATTATAATGGAAATTTACTTTGAAATCTAATTTGTTAGTTCAAAGATGGAAACTCATTTCAATATCTAAGTCCATTAATGTAATTACCTTTTTAACAATGTAAATTAGATTTCAAAGTGAATTTCTATTTTGCAACTAGCAACTAATTGGTATTCAAAGTGAATTTTCCTTCTGGCTGTGGAAATTAAACTTTGCATTTGAGGATGCAGTAAAAAC